CAATCGTCACGTCTTCAAAACTTTTTAAAAGCCATATTTTATATCCCCATCCATCAATTCGTGATTTTTGTGTTCGGGAGAATTGATCTGTGTGTGGTACGTTTACACGATTGCGAAAACATCATTCTCCCGTATTATTTTCGTGATCTAATTTAAAAATTATCCGGTTTTTTGCGTCTCGGTATCTTATAATTCACAGGTTCGTTAAAGTAGTATAGTACAAGCATGTAGATAATTACATACAATCCGCCCATAAATCAAATTATAAGATGAAAGTTGACAACCTTCTGTTGGTATCATATAATCTAACAATACTCTAACAACATATTACATGTACATTATCAAACCACATGAAATGAAATGAAATGGGGTTTAACGTCCTACTGTTCTGTTCCGACTGGATACTGGTGACGGGCATACGCCATACAGTGTGAGGGAAATTTTGCCCTAGCAGCGGTGCTACGGCCATCTCAAACTGTCAACTATTCTTTTACGTGCAATATGTACACGGTACCTTGGTTTTTAGTCCCATACGAAAGACTATACGTTGTTCCTTACCAAACCCTCTGCCTTTCAGGTTAACGAGCCAACGTCCTACTCACTGAGACACCGCGGTTCCCTATCAAACTATAAATATCAATTATTTATTTCAAATTTAAATTTACATAAACATGACTAAACTTGACTTGGCATACAAGAAAAATACAAAATAAATGTAAACATCGAGACATAATAAATCATTTTTTAAGATTATATCTCCAAAGCTTTGTCCGGTACGGTCACTCATAACGCTGTTTTTAAAAATACCCTTTCAAAGTAAATTTCTTACGGTGGCTGATTTAGGACACACACAAAAAAAAAATAATATCTCGAGCGCTCGAGATACTAAGTCGAGCGTTCGAGATAATACACTCGAACACGTCTCAACCGATGTTTTAAGCTGTATAATTTTGTGCATTATTTAATGATAACCTTGCAGAATAAAGATATTCGTCGGTTCGTTTTTACAGCACATCCAAAGCTGCAGTTATTAGGAAAGCGTTGTCTAGTCACATAACGTCGTCTGTTTTCAGAAATACAATGTCTTATGTTTGATATTCGAACAGACTGCTTGCCTCTAAAACCGACCTTTGACTTGGGTAATATCAAAAGAATTAGGAATATAAAGTTTAAATAATGTTGGGCGGAAGTATACAACATCTATCGATTATTATCGTGTGTATAAGAGAAAGGTTGTAGTTATTGTTTGATCAGCAAATTTCATAGTCTCAAGTTTATATAATCATTTATCTACTTATTAAATAATACCCATGTAGAATAGATAAACCACGTTTTCTCTTCGTCTTTAAAGGAATATTAACAGGTATTTAGAAAATATGAAAATCTAATTTTTATATAATATTTGTAATAATGAGGATGTGGGTGTGATATTGAGACGTCCACATAGGGAGGGCTGTGTTCGGCACCCTGTGACGAGCTTGACAAATTCCAAATATTATCTTAATCAAATCAATGTGCATGACGTTCATCAACCAACGTGCATAACGTTGAGAAAGGCGGGTTTTTATGTACAAATTAAACGCCAACATGTAAAGAAATGGTCCAAATAGATTGTCTGAAAGATACAGCAAAAAATATTAAGCTGTTCGAAGGCAATTGCTAGATTTCAGATTCTAAATATATAAGAAGGACTTCAAAGAAATTTTCTTTATACACGGCTTACAGTCTATGTTTCTAGGCCATTTGATATGCTTGGTTGACTGATTATGAATGTGCTGACTTTGCATTAGAAATCTATAAGTCGACCGCCACAGACATGTTCGATAAAATTACTTGAAAATATATAACATAATGTTAATATGCCATGACTTTGTAGAGCTGTTTCATTTAAAGGTTTGGTGGCCATGGGGTGTCTTTATTATTAAAATACAAGTTATACGCCAAAAAGCAGTGTTACAAAGAAACCGTATCCGGGGTGTTTCTTTGAAATGTATTTTCGTTATCATGGATTCTTGTTAAAAGGAAGAGTCTCCACTATGACCTATTATGGACTAATATTGCAGTAATCATAACTGTACATTCCTACAGTCAAACCCGAACCATTCAAGAAGAGATAGATATAGCTGTGTGAAATGATTTTAGCGAAGAGATTTCCGTTTATCAATATATTCCGTATCTTACAAATTTTATAGCCTGAACATGTAAAATCTGAGATGATGACGTGACACTTTAATCGCCTGGTTCCGCTCCGTTAGTACACATACTTAGTCTATAATGTATAGCTTTAAATGTCAGGGTTTTCTTTACCGTGACATTGAAATACTAGCCGACTGACGGGGAGCTGCATTAAAACATTGTTAACTTTATGTATAAATCTCCATTCTTGCATCTGGGATGGATTTTGAGCTCCTAACAGCCCAAGCATTGATAAATTCTACCATTAAAATGTGTATGCCATGGTAAAGAAGATCCCATGTTGTCATTGTTATATATATGTATATTACTTATGACATTGCCACTTAAACTGTGACTTAAGGTCCATTTGAGACAAGTTTGGTGCAGCAATATTCTATGGACGACATTTCGGTTCATTATTTCGTTTAGTATTTTAAGTTCGAAGGTTTAACTTCGTTATGTGTTAACTGACATATTTGGTACACCAAAAAATGACAAATGTTCTTAACTTTTAATTAAATGGCGGAAATAGCATCAGTTAAAATAATTGTTCTGCATTAAAAGCCCTGGCTCGTCCCTGTCTTAGATCGTGCTTTAATCTAGGTAGGCGTGGATATTTAAAATCCTAGCTCAGATCTTCCGTCAGAATCTATTGATGTTAAAATATTCCAAATGAGTTAAACTTTGTGCTCATTGTTGGACATGTTCGTTTTTTCTCTATGACCAGTCATTAATTGATTGTATAATAGTATATACGTAGTTTATAGGTAAGCATATAAGTAATATATAGTTCAGTGTGTGTGTTAAATCAATGGACACCTTTTATTGTTTCTACCGACAAACGTTTTCTAGGACAGACTAAAAACAATGATGCTTCTGTTTACGAGAGTGGCTATTGTTTTCTATTGGAGGGTTATTGGCTTTGTTATGTGTGATAACGTATTTTGCCGATTTAAAGCCTTTCACTTTGTACAGTGTCCTTTTCAGCTCAATATGTCAAAAGATGGTGTGAGGTCATTTACGTGTCTTTCCGTTTACCTATTAACAACCGTTACCCATTAAATCAGACCCCATTGACAATAACCGCTCCACATGACATCATGATATATCATGGTCGGATCAAATATGGTGGCCATTGAGGCGGAGGTATGTTTTTTGGTAAAGGTGAACAAATGATGCGCCTGGTTGAATTTCAAAAGAATCTTGATAGTGACCGTATATAGCAGGATTAAATAAATTCACAAGAGTCGGTTTAAAAAAAACATAACAGCTACAAATACCTTGGTGTAAAGCTAAGGGCAATAAGCTCGACATAAAAATCGTTTTAAAAAAAATAACCCCCAGGCGAATATTTGCGTCCAGAAAAAATAAATTACAACTGAGCCATTACTACACAATTCATAAAACTTTCAACATTAGTAAAGGAGGTGTTATAAGCATCTATTATTTAAATCCTTCACCTACTTATAATTAGATTTGACATTTTACAGAAAGATTAAGTAGCGAGATAGGAAAACAATTTTTAATTCCAACAATGAACGCATTAATGGCACATTAACGTTCTGTAAACTATTACCATTTGGCGCTGTCTTGATTTGGTGGCTAGATCACATTGGAAGGTTTGCATGAATAACATTATTAGAAACGTTGATATTATTCTGGATATTATAGTTATATAGCTTTTTAAAACTGAATATCTGTATTGTTGTTGTACCTTGATTTACTGGCTAGGCCCAACTGGGAGATGAGCATGAATAACATTTTTAGAACCCGCTTAATATATGGTGCAAAATATCATATCAAAAATGATGAAAATGGTCCCGTATTATGTACTCATACAGATCTATTCAATTTGAACTATGAAGAATCTACCACCTTACTTGAACTTGAATACCAATACGGTATTGGTTATTGAATAACACGATTATTTTTACCTTAGCGAAATCTATCAATGGGCTATAACATCGAGCGAATACAATACCATACGTGTCTTGTCTCATTTTGAATTCACTGTCGGTGGATCTTATAGACGCTAGAATTGAGATATTATTTGACTAAATACGGAGTTATTTTATTTCGATCTATAGGAGAATAAGCCTGAAAAAAAATATCCCCAACGAAAACAAGCAACAGACTTTCACCTTGCTATATTTATCAATTTAATGTAACATTCAGGGAATACTGATCTCAAATATTTGACGATTGGGGTTTCTACGAAGGAATTAAATAACAATATCGAAACAGTGTATTTTCATAATGTATTCCACGTGTAAATCGACTCGTCTGTTTAATATCGAATGTCTCGATACAATGTTAAATTTGTAGCTTATAATTCTAAATTCATTAAAAGCTGTAATACAAGATGATTCAATGACAAACAGTAGCGTATCAGTTAGAATTATCTATTTTAATCAACTTAATATAAAACGCCAAGTGGTCTGGCAAGTATTCTAATACAGCGTCAAAAAACTTGTTTTTCCATTCGATTCTCTGCAGCATTAACAATCAACTTATGTATAATAGTTTTAAAAAAATAAGTAATGTTATTTAATATCCATATCATTAATCTGGGGTATGCATTCCACGAAATACGAACAGCAATTTGGTTATATTACACCCGGGCTGTTTTTTTGTTGTTTTTTTTTTTTTTTAAAAAAAAGAGAATTAATGGTAATCCCGCCCTTATATAACTGATATAAATAAAACTACACGCGGAGGGCAACATAGGCTATAAAAGTATACAATATCTGAAACATGGGTACAATAATATCAGTTTCTGTCTTAATGGTTTTGTTTATTCTGTAAGCGACAATCCGCCTACGACGATATAACACCCCGTTAGCCAATAGCTTGCTATGCTTCGTATGATAATCAATCATCAGAACAGAGCGTTCACTAATAGAATTCACTTGTCATTCAATTCGATCAATTACGAATTTTCTCCAGCGCGGAGTAACAGGACATTTTCTTGCTTGGATTTTTAAAGCCCGTGCTTTTTGAAGACAGCTCGTGACAAACGCGATTACCTTTAGTGACGTCACATTTCATCCTTACAGGTAGCGGGACTTGCGGCCATTGAGCGGAGAGATAAGATAGAGTTCACATCATAGTGAGTGGAGTTGACGAACGAACATCATGTATACTGCTCAAGGATTACTGTGTGCTTTTTTGGCAATAACTTTATTTGCTTCTGGTGAGTTGTGTGCAAATTTATTTTAATGTTTTCAACTTTGATTGACATTTTTCAAGCTTGAGGTGTGTAACTGTCTGCAGAGCTATTCAAGTCATTTCTTATACACCTGTGTAGAAAGAGGCGCGACAACTAGCAAATAACCGCCATAACGGTTCAAGCGTGCCCCGAAAAATATCTATACCGGCGTTTGTAAATTAGACCATATCTCTGAAAGTACGATATTCGTGGATTTAATTTTGAAACGTGCTTTAAGCAAAATATTTCGGTTTATTCTCCGTAAAATATAGTAAATTTAAGACATGTTATGTCCCTAAAATTAGGTTAAACAAACAAAAAATCAACAATATGATATCCCCGTTCAGTGACTAACAGCGTGATCAATCGGGTGTAATGCATTGAGAAAAAAAAGTAGTTACAAATTTATTGTATACTAAATGTGGGATAGGTACAAAGCAATACATCTTAATTTACTCAAAATGGAAATAAATTTTAAATAGCTTCCAGTTAATTGCGTTTAGGCGAAACATTTGGTATATCAAGTCATTTCAGTCTTAGTAGTCACGATGCCTTTTTTAAGCAGTGAAATATTATTACGAGATTGAGTGAAAGAATTTCACACTTGTTCGAACTTTGGTCATTGTTATGCTAATTAAGGTAGTGAATTAAAAGTTGTATGATAAATATTGAGATACTAAAGTAGACCTACTCAATCTTGTGCATTTTCATATAAACTTGTACCCTAATAGTATGTTAGCTTGATATTACTATCTACATATATATAAGACATGAAATATTATTGTTCCCATTGTTCAAATGCTATGATTACAACAAGATATCATCATAGTTCACATTATATTCTTGTATAATGCACATGTATAATGTACATTTATATTACACAGTGCATAATCAACATTAGTGGTACAATATATCACTTTTAGTATTGGTCCCTTTAACTGCAATACACATTATACCACTACAGATATGTAATATCAATGCACATTTTTTATGTGTATTACATATTCAGAATCAGTGAACTACCAGTTTGATATACACATAAATAAATGGGTGTAAAACACACTTGCAATGCATATTGTACTTTGATAAAATTGTAATAATACATCATATAATTAATATTAACATATTTAACAGAGAATATACAACTGTGTTATACATCTTTTGAGTAATGTAGGTCTGTAATAAACATTTTCTAACTTTGTTTAATACCCATGGACAGCTATTATAATTACCAGCCATTCTTATACACTCAATACAAAATACTGAACAGTCAAATATTGCAAGTTGCTATACTTACTATGATAACATCAGCGCTCATAGATAGGTATATGTAAGAAAGTGATAAGTATATTTACCATTAGTGATCTTATCTACTAAATAAGTTACTTTATCAATATGTAATTTTATTATCTTAAACATTATTATTGCCACTATATAGATTTCAAATTTTATCTTAAATCAGTTTATGAATTAGAAATTTATTTAGCCCATACACACTTAAACAGTTGGGCTATATAGAAGGCCATTTTTTGATGTTGTTTGTTTATTTTTTGCATTACCTTTAATAGACATTGGAATTATTAATTATTAATTGTTCTGTTTACCTACAGCGTACAGCTAATAAAAGGATTTAATTTGTTACCCAATAGAAATAAAAACCACATCAACCATTTAATTGCACATAAATTTATCATTAAAAGTTATAGGTTATAAAAATACATTGTTCCAGCTGCTGCCATATCATAAAGAATGTCTATTGTTAAAGATTTAATAGGTGGAAAATGATGTAATTGGTGTCTATGGCTGTGAACTATTATATTGTGGTCTGTAAGAGATAATCAAAATTGTCTGCGATATCACTTCGGTGGAAGCGGACGTAAAATACAACTAACTCATCATCAGATAATCAAAGACAGGCTATAAATAGATTGATATTGGTCTGGAAAAAAAAATAATATATGGAATTACCTTCTAATTACATGAATCCTTTACACGAAAATATAACCTGAATTGATTAGGTGTCTGAACATTGCCTGCTGTAATTAATTTCAACTGTAGATTATGGATTGGAATGCTGTTTGGGGACTTGTATACAATTCAATTCTATTTTGTATTGTAGCTACATGTATAACATCAACAGATAGGATCGCTCTCTGCCCAAACAATTTTTGTCAAACTACTAGAATTTTAAATGTTAGGTTATACATGTAGGTCTTTCTGTATTTCTGTTCCATAACAAAATCGACTTAAATGCTGTGTGGTTCAATTTTCAACCCAGGCCAAATAATCTCTTTGTTAACCAAGAACTGTGTTCTGAGAAAAGAAAAACTTATCTGGACCATTTCCAGGATAGAGTCACGGTTAAGTGAACACCATACTGGTAAATGTCTTCTCAAAAAATTTCTTTATGATATATATTCATAAATTATTTGTCCTATCATAGATTGTGTGATAAGGTGTGTGTATAGATGTCAATTTTGATTGGGGCAATTTGGTGATATTCAGGTCAAACCTCGCCTAAAAGATATAGAAGGTCAAGATTTGATATTTGAAAAATGTGATTAGATCATTTGATATTAAATACTATATATTTTATTCTATGTATATAGTAGCTACATATAATGTAGATTTATAGATGCAATGTACAAGTTATATTTTAGTAGTGTGACAGTATGTTGTATGCATGGTTCGTGTGCCTTCAGTCTAATTAGGATTCACTGATATTATGATACCCTAATGTAGTATGACTATTTATAGCAATTGTGGCTTCCCCCCCCCCCCCCTTTCCAGCAAAGTTTTTGTTGACTTTTTGGTTTAAATTTAGATTTTCTGCCAAGTTTGGCAGATTATCATGATTTTGGTGGAGAGAGAGAGAGAGAGAGAGAGAGATGTGGTTTAATGTCTACTCCACTGACACAAACTAGGTCATATGGTTCAATTTTATTTCATTAATTCGCTTGCGCATAGGGGTCTTTAGCAGTGGGAGGAAACCAGAGGACCCAGAGAAAACTCACGAGATTGGACAGGCGACCCTACTTCTTGTCATGTACAAGCAAGGAATTGAAAGCTGGCCACTTGACTCAATGACAGACCTCGTGATGCAACGAGCACCCAACCATTCGTTTACCCAACCCAGCTTGAAGCAGACAAATGAGGGGGTAAACAGATATGAATTAGGGTGATTGCCTACAAAAATGACGTCACAATCTATATGCATGTAGATGCATTTTACCTGGCGTAAAAAAAAAAACTGAGATAGATCAACCTCTTCAATATTTTTACCAGATGCTTGTGTCATGTTGGGTTTTATGTGGGCATAAAGATTAAGATTATTGGAATGTTCAAAGATTTGTTAAGATGCCAAGAAATAGCATGGATTTAACATTAAAATCAATTGGGAGAGCATTATGACTAGTCTGCGACCAGATCCATTATAAACTGACATGACATCATGACAGTATATGAATACATGTTGTATTATAACTAATAGATAATACATATGTAAACCTTTAACAACTATTAATACAATATGACAGATTACCAATACATGTAACTTTATCTAATCTTATTTTTAATACAAAGATCACCTCTTGCTATTAGGATAATATCAATATATGAAAGCTCTCGAATGTCAAATCAGTATCGTGGAAGGGGGGTGGGGGGTGGATGGTCGAATGGTTAGCATGTGTGCGCAGTATCATAAGGTCTGTCATTGAATCAACTGGCGTGGTTTTGAATCCCCGGTTGTATGTGACAAGGAGTAGGGTAGCCTGTCCAACCTCGTGGGTTTTCTCCGGGTCCTCCCACTGGTAAAGACCCCTATGCGCAAGCGAATTATTGAAATAAAAAATTAAAAAACCATATGTTAGTTTGTGTCAAGTGGATGTTAAACTCCATTTCTCTCTCTCTTTCTCTCTCTCTCTCTCTTTCAGTATGGTGATGCAGTTATGTGCATTCTGTTCAAATAAATAGAGCAGCATAATCTTCTGACATGACTGTAATAGAACTTGCAAGCACCATGGAGATATTCTTATTGATGGTTGTGTAGCATTTGATCTCTGTCTCTACATTGTGACATTCAATTTTATATAATCAATATACTAAAAAAGCTGAATATCTCTATCTACGAAGAAAAAACTAGTCATTAAAATTGGTCTTGAGGTTGGTTGTTGCAATAATGTAGCTGACAAAATTATCTTTCAATAAAAGATATATAATGTGATTCATGCATTATTGATAAAATTGTAGCAAGATTTTACCTTCATTTGATACCTGTACATCTACATATAGAAATAGTAAATACCAATGTTGATACATGTATGTTTATGTAGATATCTAGTATATACAATACATGTACATGTATGTAATCAAGCTTATTATAATCTTATATATCATATCATATACTATAGACTTATTACAGAAATATCACATAGCTTGAAATTTTCTTATATATTAGTATGAACATTTGTAGGCCTACATTCAGATATTTACATGAAGCTAATGAATATATTGGGTTTCATTTACATCTTACATGAAATGTATGTGAAAGATAACTAACGTTATACAACTTAAAACAATCCATTCACACTTTTCAAATTTTAAAATATATCCAGAAAACTAAATGAGAAATGGTATCATGAGTTCTAAAAGAAATAAACACAATCTGCCTCATGCATGACACCTGTCACTACTTTTATCTGGATTTCAAAAATTAAAGACTACTGAATAGATGACAACCTGATGGCTATTACAATTTAGTTACATTGGCAATGCCAGTAAGATCTTTGGGTCTGAATTCTGAGGAGAGGTGCAGGAAAGCTGTTGGCCTGGAAATATTTCCCTCCTCTGCATTTCCCAAATGTACATGTAGGTTTGGATTATTGCGGTCACAAATATATGAATATTACATTACCTGTTCGTCCGCAGGTGGGGCATATTCTGTCTAGCTTGAATATGGAGACTGTTTTAATTTTCAGTGTCCCTAC